AAAGTGGGATTTCTTTGCGTACGAAAACGATTCTGCATTGGTCCCCAACCAGCCACAACCCCTTTTCCCAAAATAAACCATAACATAGAATAACAAAGTCGGAAGGGGCCTTAGAGGTCCTCTAGTCCAGCCCTTTGCTTCCTTGCTCCTCCATGAGGTGGGCAGGGGCTGCTGTGATGCTCCCCCTTGTGATCCGGTGGGCTGACTTTGCTACTTCCACAAAAGTCAGGCTTTGTAGCTTCCTCAAACCAGATTACGCCCCGCTCCCCCTTGCAAGCCTAATTCCAATGGGTGGCAATAAACAGAAGGCACTCTGCACATGCTTCAGCAAACAGTACTCCCTTTAATAATGGTTTCTCCTTTGGTCAAATCTGGTTATGGGCCTCTGTCGACGGGGGAGACGTGCTCTCTGCTTGCACGGAGGCCATTCAAGGTGGGGAGAGGGCATGGATGTAATCCTGGACCCATTTTTCTGACGGATCGGCACAGATCTTTATGCCTCTTTTTGTGACGAATCTGCAAAGGAAATGTCTGCATGTCATGTAATGTAACTACATGTAAGGGAACACCGCATATCTGCAGAAATGCACATGACCCAAGACAGAATCTCTCCAGAATGTATATGGGTCAGTATAAAAGAAAACAAAAGTGACATTGCCATAGGTGTATGCTACAGGTCACCCAACGAAGCAGAAGAAATAGATGGACTCTTTGCTAACCAGTTAACAAATGTATGTAGGAAAGTATGTAGGAAGCACACCACAGTAGTAATGGGAGACTTCAACTACCCAGTTGTCAGCTGGGAGACAAACTCTGCAGCAAGTGGGAGATCGAACAGGTTCCTAACCAACCGAGCCAACAACTTTGTCACCCTAAAGGTGGAGGAGGGAACTAGACGTAAAGCCACACTGGACCTAATTCTTACTAATAGGGAAGAAGTGATAGAGGGAGTTGAAATTGGCAGAGCCTTGGGCGAGAGTGACCACGTCATGCTGGAATTCAATATAATGCAAACACAAGCAATAGAAAATAAACCAACCAGTGTCTTAATCAAGACCACGGTTTAGCCCAGTGTGTCTCCACCTTGGGCCAGGCTGGCTGGGGAATTCTGGGAGTTGAAGTCCACCCCTCTTAAAACGCCCAAGACTGAGACCTACTTAGTGAGCAATTTGCTGAGAAGGAAGCTTAGAGGGTCTCCTGAACCTCTTGCAAGGCTGAGCCCAGAAGACCCTCAACAGCCATTCTGGGAAACTTACACAACACCCGGCTGGCTGCATCTGTCGTTGGTGTATTCAAAAGATGTCAACATGCGCAGCGGGATGCGACGTGTCACGAAGCTAATGCAGCAGCTGATGGGCCTACGATTCACTGGGGAAGGAAACAGAGAAGAGAAGGAGTGATGGATGCCATACCATGGGGTGGAGAAGCTCTCTTCCCCCCTCCCCCCATCCTGGGGTGGGCAGGGAAATGTCTGGGGTGAGATTTGCAGTGTAAGAGCAATGAAGTTGATTAGGGGGCTGGAGGTGAAAATATATGAGGAATGGCTCCAGGATTTGAGTATGGCCAGTCTAGAGAAAAGTAGGGGGGACATGACAGCAGTGCTGCTATATTTGAGGGGCTGCCACAGAGAACAGGGGGTCACCTTATTCCCCAAAGCACCAGAACGCAGGACAAGAAGCAACGGATGGAAACTAACCAAGAAGAGAAGCAACCTGGAGAAACTTGCTAACAGTGAGAACAATTAACCGGGGGGACCGAAGTTACCTTCGGAAGTTGTGGAGGCTTTTAAGAAGAGACTGGACAACCACTTGTCTGAAGTGGTATAGGTAATGTCTCCTACTTGAACAGGGGGCTGGACTAGAAGACCTCCAAGGTCCCTTCCAGTGCTACGAGGGTCTCCATAGATCCAACAGGAAAGGTCTTCCTTGTGGACACCACAAAGCTTGTCCTCATGTGTGGATCGGACTGACCACACCAGGTCTGGATGAGCCTCCCAGCTGGAGACCTCCCCTGCCCCAACCAAGGATGCTGTTCAGCTCAGAGCTTTCCTCAAAGCTGGCCTGGGGTCCTGGGGGTCCCCAGCTGTGCCCCGTTACATGGCTCCTCTTATGGGGAGAGGGGTGCCTGCCCTCTCTCTAACCCCCCAAAGCACCATCTTGGGCAGGATGGGGGACCCTGTCTTTAACTGCCTATCTCCACCCTGGTCCAGCCCAAAGACATCACAGTGGGGCAGAAGACCCCCAGGGCTCTCCCCAGAGGAAGGGGCTGGGCTAGGGCCAAAGGGCTTCGCTCAGGGTCAGTAGTCAGATTGGGGGAGGTTTTGTTACGCTGAAAAGGGAAGGAAAGAGAGACTTACCATTCTGGTCGTTGGGCTGGGCTGAAGGGGTTGCATCTGAAAGAGAGAGATGGGGGGGGCATTGTGACTCTCCCAATTCCCCCCCTTCCCCCATGGCTGAGAACTGAGGTGCCCCTGCTAGAAGGAAGCCCTCCAGACAATCGCCTGGGCCCTCCGGAGGGTTGCAAGAGAGGGGGGGCTGGAGGAAGCCAAGCGGATCAGAGACTCACTGGGACCCTCGACAGCCAGGGTGACGGAGACCACCAGGAGCAGAAAGGCGAAGAGGGTCTTCATCCTCGGAGACGGGAGGGAGAGCAGCTGCAGTCTTATCTCGGGGGTATCGGCACTGGGCACCCAACGCCACTCGGCTTCCAGATGCCTCTTTATAGGAAGCGGCAGCTGCAGCTGTGGGAAACACGTGGGGGGCTCCCCCACCAGGGCGTGACCACAAAGCTGTGGGGCCAGGGAGACTCCTGGATGCTGTGAAGGAGCATTTTGCACACTGAAGCAAAGTCTTGACTGGCATTGCGATGGAAGGTCAGGAAATTCATTTTAAGATAGCAAGGCAGCATGTCCACCCATCCATCCATCCATCCATCCATCCACCCACCCGTCCGCCCTTCCTTCCTTCCTTCCTTCCTTCCTTCCTTCCTTCCTTCCTTCCGTCCATCCATCCATCCACCCACCCACCCATCCATCCACACATCCACACATCCACACATCCGCCCACCC